TCAAAAGGATGAGTCCTGGGGCATTGATCTGTTCTTCTGTTTGAGACATGTCTCTCTCTCTCTCTCTCTTTTTTTTTTTTTTTTTGTCTGGCGGTGCCTGTTACGATGAGGGGTGGAGCCTTAGGTGTTCACCGGGGCTGTGCATCCCAGTCCCTAGATTGTGACATTGTAAGTGGGGACAGGGGCGGGGGCGGGAGAAAGGGAGGGAACAATGGTGGTAGCTCCATTCTCCTGGGACCTTAGTCCCTTCTCTGGGATCCTGGGTTGCACGCTCTGCCCTGGTCCACAATCGCCACCTCACTGGGTCCACCAGGTGCCGCTGGCAAACTCAGTGTCCACCCGCTGTGATCTTGTGCGTCCCAGATGCCTTATGCACCCACTGCTCTCTGTAACACGACCTGTGCTGCAACCCGTGCTGTGACCCGTGCCCGGCTGCTCCTCTCCACCCCTTCTACCCGTCTGGATGAACGGGTCTGCTTCAACTTTTTGGCTGTCTGACTTCCATTCAGATAAATTCTCTATCAGTTCTGGGTGTTATTCTGCCTCTAAATTGTTGTTGTTCTAATCTTGGTTGTGCGTGGAGGTACAATGTGTCCACCTATGCCTCCATCTTGCCGGAAGTCCATTTTATTACTCTTAAACTGTACCTCTCTATATGTTATATTATGTGTACAGTTGTGGGGTGGCTCAGGACATGGCCCCTCCACGACCCCAGAGGACTGGTGGCTGCCTGGCCAGCAGCCATGAGAGAGGAAAACAGGCTGTGTCTAGGGTCCCAGCCTTCTCAAGAACCCTGTGTTTATCACAACCCTGTAGCTTCACATGCTCCTTTCCCTCCTTGCCCTTCCCTCCCTAATCTGATGGGGAGCACCTAAGCTGGAGGCAGCAGGTCTCCTTTGCCCATCCACTGCCCTTGGTGCACTCCTCTGTAATGTGCATGATAAACAGCATGTCCACATCTGCTAGTCCTTTGGGTGGCTTTTTTCAGAATATCACAAACACTGAAGCAGCTCCCTGGTTTGGGTTTGGTGCACTTGTACTGCAGTTGGCATCACAAACAGGATATTCCAGAAAATACTTCTGTCAGGTGGACTGCTTATGATAACATGCCAGCTGGGGGAGACCTAGAAATAGCAGGGGAATCTCTGGGTAGTGAACCAGTATTGAGGGGAATGCCCCAAACATTCCTGCTGGCCTTGCACAGGACCTGCATGGGGGAAAAGAAGGAAGTAGTCAAAGCAAAAGTACAGCAGTTAGAGGGTGAGCTTAAATTAGAAAAATAAGGAGATAAGATTCTTAAACCTAATCACCTCTTGAAATTTTGTCTTTGCTTTCAATTTTGCTTTTGTTTCCATTTTAGAAAGGAGCAGCTTAGTTTGCATTTTAGACTAATTAGAATTGTTTTGCTAAAGGTCTAGTAAATGGGGTAAGGTTTTTGAAATGTATTCATAAATTTGTCAACCTAAAGAACATTTAAGTTAGGAAAAATATCATGGCTTTAGTAATAAAAAGTGTAAATTATGGCAATATATATTTTGAATGAAATAGAATTAAACATAGATGGTTCTAATTTGTGGATGAATTGAAAGGGCAAAGTGAAGGATTTAAAAAGTTGCAGAAGGATTATGTAGAGAGAAGAAGCAAAAGGATGAACAAATGATCACATCTTGTGCTTTGTCTACCCAAATTGGTAAGTCAGATTATGCGTAGAGTCTTTATCTGTTCAGTCTTCATGTGCATGGACTTTATGTGATAGGTGTTTGTCTGTGTGTTACACATGGTGTGTTTTCTGTCTCTAGATGGTATAATTAGGGTGTAGTATTTTATTGGCCTAAAGAAGGTAAACACTTATAAATTTAACATGATTATGTGGTCTGGACAAATTATTTGATGTGAAAACTGGTTTTAAGTTTAATTAATGACTTTTGAAGTTACTACTATGAAAAATGTGTTGTTTTACAAAAGGTTTATTTTCTACTCGTTTGGTTAAGTTTGTTTGACAGCCTTCCCAAAGTTTAAATTTAAGAGACTTTTCAACTAAGAAATGACTTTGAGTTATTCCAGTAGGCCCCTGGAATACCTCAAGGACTTGTTCTCCCTCTTTTATAAAAAAGAAGTTTTTGAACTACTGGTAATTAGGCCTATTTAATAATGCTTAAAGTACATGGGAAGCTTTGTCAAATAGAGAAGTAATAAGTATGTTCTATTTGTATATACATATTTTTATTATTAAAGTAGATGTTCTAGAGATTATATGAGTTCTGAAATACTTTAAATTGTAATTTTAGTTGTTGTCTTAAAATATTGTTGCAGGAAAGCAAATTCCTTTGTCAACTGCATTATACCCAACTCTGTAACCATATCATTTTAAGTTCTGTCATTTTTAAACAGTCATTGTTTTACCGTGATGCATTTGGAAAAATATGTCTCAGGAGGCATATCTGAAACTCTGGCATGTTTCAAATCACATATTTCCGAGAATGGATTTTGAGATCATACTTTGAATTGAGTGAAGATTACTGGGGCTCTGTGAAATGATTGGATTTATAGAAGTGCTTGCAGATATTCAGGATAAACAGAAATTAATTATGGGACATAATAAACTGGAGATAATTGTGGCTTTTGTAACTTTTGTTGAAAAATGTTGCTAATTTTTAATTTATTTGTTTTTCAGACATAAGAAAACTTTCTGTTTCTTAAAGCAATTTGGTAAAGTATACTTTCATAAGCAGCACTGAGGCATTTATATTTTTCTCCCTTTCTGATACCTCTGGGATTCAGAAGCTCTTAATGAGTGAATAGTACTCTTTCCATGGCAATATGTTCGTTTGCATGAATCCAATAGGAATCTGATTTCATAACAGGATGCATAAAACCTGTGATTTTATTAACCAAGACTTTGCCTGGAATATCAGATCTGCAGGAGGCAGGCCTGTACACTGGGTGTTACCAGAAAGCCTTGGGGAACCGAGGTTGGCTGTTGAAACCAATGAAAGCCCACTAGAGAAATGGCCTGGTACTGTGTTTGGTGTGTGGTTCATGGCAGTGTTTCCAGGTAAGGAGTGAAGGTTGCTTTCTTGAAAGATGGCAAAGAGGAACTTTAAGATATGATGGGAACTTCAAGGACTTGAGGAATGTAGGTAGTCACTGCAGGCAGAGCCTGTGGCAGGTGTGTGTGGGCTGACTGAAGCTCAGTCTAAATGTTCCCTGCGTAAGTTCCAGCAAAGCAGTCTTAAAGAGTCTATATGATCTGTTGGTAGTCCCCTTGTGTTTATGCAGTAATCAGGCCGAATTGAAACTGGACTTAACACAGTAAATGAGTTGGCCTTGATTTGGCTCTTTGATAAAAATGAGGATGATTTTAGGGGAAAAAGTATGTTTCAATAAAATATGTTATACCCAATTATGGAAAGTAGACTCTAATTCAGTGAACTGACTGCAAAATTTTATTTCTTACCTATGAACTAGACTGGATCCTGAACTTACCCAGTTTTCTTCACATTAGTGTTTCACTTTTCCTTCATCCTTTGATGTGGAGTTGTTGAGAACTGCTGATGCATCATCAACCTTACAGAATTTACCTGAGCCCCGGATGACATTACTAGAGACATTTAACAGGCAGATGAAGAGGGTCTATCAGCTTACCACTGATTAATTTCATCCCAGCAAAAGCCTTGCATTTGGGAGTCTTCTTATCTGCCAGTCCTGCAGACTCAGAAACTGGTTTATGATTTGCTGTGTGCATTAACCTTGGTTCTTTCTGTTTTCATAGAATGTATACTATGACCTGTCAAATTCTTGAGGGTTGTCTTGTTGGACTGTGCAGGAGCAACACCTTCCACCAATGGGTGGTAATGCTGGCCACTGAGAACAACCGCTCAACCTGTTGGGTCTGCACAGAGTTCCTGACTGGGGCCTCTGCTGGCTTGCCATGGTTGACTTACCCTGTGAACCAGACATGCTGGGAATGGCTGCAGGGCTGGAAGGCTTCTGACCCCCTCTTCAAACAGACATGTGAGAAGGTTTTTCCCTCATGAGGAAGCAGGCTAACACACCAAGCCATAGCTCACGTTAGCCGTTTGGGGTGGTGTGGGGTGGTTGTTAGCATGGCAGGTATATGGATGACAGCTTGTACTCATATGTACTGAACACAGAAACGAGACTGCAAATGAAACTGCAACTCCTGGGGTGGATGCCTGCCTTCCTGTACAAGAATATACAATACTGACTGCCGCAGACAATTGGTGGTGTTCCCTCCTCCTGGGTCTCTTTGGCTTCTGCCTTGGGCTTTTAGTCTTGGGGTGTAGCCTTTACACCCCTTGTGGATGAAATGTGCCAACATGCTCACTGCACAGGTCTCCCACCAGGAGAATTAACGCGAAGAACCTGAGGTGGAAGAGCAAAACCAGTGTGGAGTGTGGGGTCAATACATGGCCTATCCCCCTCCCGTGATTGAGGGCTACTCAGAGATTCTAGCATTGTTTTGAGAATGGATTGTAACTCCTTCCTCATCTCCGTTTGGGAGCGGCTTTTTGTCCTGTGACTGCTTCTTGACCTTTTCCATCTGCACATACACACTACGGTAATGTAGCTCTTGGCCACACGTAGGTTTGTGCAACCTGAACCCGAGCTGTCTTTGTCAGGAACTCCTTATGATGAGCCTCAGACTGGAGGAGGTGTGGTCTCTTTCGCACTGACTGGCCTTGGTCAACGCGCTCCCCTGTAATATGAGTAATAAACAGCGTGTCCATATCTCCTAGTCCTCCGGGCATTTTTTCAGAATATCAAAAATCCTTAAGCAGCTCCTGGGTTTGGGTTGGGGCTCCTGTGCTACACCCTCCCTCGAACGCGGCCCTTAACTCTCACCGCAGCCCTTTCCTTACATCAGGCACGGTTGGCTTTGGCAAGAAGAGGTCGCCTCCCTCTAGTGGCCTCCTCAGGGTGCCCTCTGGGAAGTGTAGTGCTGGGCATGATGGGAGTCGTAGTTCTCCTCAGGTCCGCGGCGTTCCTGGACGCTAAGGCCTTTTTGGGGCTCGTGGTGCGGGCACCGCTGGGGTGCTCTGCTTTGGCCTGCGAAACTCCCCAGCTTTTTCTGGCCTGCGTGGGTATCAGTGCCCACCTCCGTGTGAGTGGGGCGTGTGCAGGGGGAGGGGGCCGGGCTGGGGTACCTGGGACCTGCAGCGTCGCCCGTCCACCACCTGAGAGCGTTGCTCTGCGGGCAGGGAATTGGGGTGCCTGGGACAGCTGTGGGTGTGAGTCTTCTGTGGCTGTCTTGTGGGACTTATAAGTGAAACAAACAGTAGCTAATGCGTATGGAGAACTTAGCTTTACTAGGCACTGTTCAAGCGCCTTAGATTGGCGATTTTCACCCGGTGCGGTGCAAGAATTTTTAAAACATGCAGCACCTGACTAGTCAGGGGCACTGACCTCTCTCCCCTTAGATGGTCAAATAAAAAAATGTAGCCATCCAATGTGAATGAATCAAAATTGTACCTACTTTTTTGACAAATCAGCAAAAAAGTATTTTTTGTGTGCTGCAGAATTTTAGTAACTAGTTTATTTGTGCCATGAGATGAAAAAGGTTGAAAATTGCCCCCTTAGATGAATTCACTCATTTCACCCTTCAATTACATGTAGGTTGGCTATACACTTCCCTCATTTTACAGATAAAGAAACCGAGGCAGAGCAGCTGGGCAATTTACCACATTGAACTGGAGCCTTGGGCTGGGACCTGGATTCTCTTCTAGCCTCTCATAATTAACTGCTGTTGTTTCTTTGAGCAGGTCACCAAGCATCCTGGTTCTCAGTCTCTGACACCTGTAAGATGGAGTAGCAGTACTTAGTTTTTAGAGTTGTTTTGAGGACTACAAATAATACACGAGAAGCACTCAACACTCCTGGCATGGAGCAGGTGTACCTATGGTTTCTACGATTCTTTGTACGGCAGCTGTGCTCACGCTGAGGTGTGGTATCCGAGGTTATACACTATACCCAGTCTGTTGAGCTCTCGTGCCAGGTGCTGTGCCCCAAAAGCTCCCTGCAAACTCAGGCAGCCAGTGCAGGCAGCTGTGGCCAATGCCCTTCTCTGATGCTTGTCTGGCTGCTCCAGGCACCCCTTTACCTGGCTCTTCCAAGCCAGGTTTGGGTATGAGAGGCTGAGGGCTGTGTGAGCTGTGGTTGCTATGAGAGGAGGTACCAATGGAATCTGTGTTTAGGAGGGGCCCCAGAGCAACACTCTGGTATTCATCTTGTGTGAGAGTGCATGTTTTAATCATGTTCCCTTGGGTGAAGTATGCTAAGGTAGATGCAGAGAGACAGACAGACAGACAGACATGGACAGTTTGCAGGTTATGTCCTACTCATCGTTCTGTGGGAGAATACAACACTCCAGGTAGGCTGCTCAGGGGAAGCCCCTGGCTCCATCCTGAGACAGAGAGGGAAATGTGGGCAGGCACCTTCATTGTGGTTTCTTTTGGAAGGAAAGGGGTCGGCAGGACATGCAGGCTTAGGACTGGCTGGCTGTGTTTTAAAGGGGCAGCCTGGGAAGTTCATATCCTCTGTGACTGTTAGTGTGTAGTTTAAGGATATCTAAGGACTTCAGGTATCTGTGGGTGAATCACAGTTTGCTAATAGACTCTTGGTGGATGTTAAAGCATCAATTTAACAGAAGTGTCAGTTTAACAGAAATTAGAAGTATGGTTTATACAGAGAGGAGAAGGGGTTGACAAATTGTCTTATGCTTCTCGGCTTGGTAAGTACACCTTTTTCCTCAGTTCACATCATTTCTGTGGAGTGGCTTTGTTGGGACCTGTTGGGCATTATGGTTGGCTGTAACTTGCTCTCTGTAAACCACCCCTTGACACCAGAATTCCTCATGATACACTTTCCTTTTCCAGATCAACCCTGACAGCACTCCACTCTCCCTTGGCAGGAAACTAAGAAGGAAAGAATGGCCATGGATTTTCTGCCTGCACAGGTGATGGTAAGTGAAGGTTGTCTTTTTCCTGAACTGCCTTCTGGGTTCAGAGATGGTGGGCGTGTTTCCATTTTCTGTCCAGGTAGTTTTCTTTCCAGTGAGAACTGTGGAGTATCCAGAGGCTTGTAACTTTCCTCCAGTATCCTGGACTTTTTAGAAGAGCTGCTGAGAAGTGTATGCCCTCTGTCCCGACGTCACTTTTAACTCACCAACCACTTCATGACCAAGGACCGTAGCAACACTGAATAGGAAGCACTTGGTGAGAAGTCCGGGCATTCAGCAGGCTTTGTCTTTATGGAGGGTGTGGTCTCACTTGGGGCAGAGACGTGGAAGGACCAAAAGTGCCTTCAACAAACTTTTATTGAGCACCAGCTATGTATAGGGTGCTATGCAGGATGCTGGGGATACAGAAAGGAAAGATGTTGTTTCTGTTTTCAAGGAGTTCATGGTGATGATTTTAGGAAGTGATTAAACATCCCAGAACAGGCAGAGACAAGATCCCAGAGCAGATGCTGAAGGTCAGGACTGATTGGTGGGCATCCTGAAGGGCTTCCACTTGGCTTGGGCTTTGAGGTTGACACTGGGGTGGGGGGTAGAGGGCTGGGCCTTTCCCAGGGGTCCTTCTTCTTTCTTAGGAGTTCTTTGTGAAGCTGTGACATTAAATGGTCCACATGCCCTCTCAGCCACCTGACTCATGCCTACATCTTCTCTGATTCTTTTCTCCTTCTACTTCCCCTCCTTGGGCCCCTTTCTTTTCTTCTTTATTCTTTATTTTAATTTAACTTTATTTTAAATATATTTTATTGAGTATGCTATTACAGTTGTACCATTTCTCCCCCTTTATTCCCCTCCACCCTGCACACCCCTTCCCACCCACATCCTCCCGCCCCTTTAGTTCATGTCCATGGGTTGTACATATAAGTTCTTTGGCTTCTGCATTTCCTATACTATTTTTAACCTTCACCTATTTATTTTCTACCTACCACTTATGTTACTTATTCCCTGTACCTTCCCCCCACTTTCTCCTTCCCACTCCCCCACTGTTAACAATCTATGTGATATCCATTTCTGTGATTCTGATTTTGAGTTGTTTGCTTAGTTTGTCTTCGTTTTTTTTTTAGGTTTGGTTGTTAATGGCTGTGTGTTTGTTATCATTTTACTGTTCATATTTTTTATCTTATTTTCCTTAGATAAATCCCTTTAACATTTCATATAATAAGGGCTTGGTGATGATGAACTCCTTTAACTTGACCTTATCTGAGAAGCACTTCATCTGCCCTTCTATTATAAATGATAGCTTTGCTGGATAGAGTAATCTTGGATGTAGGTCCTTGCCTTTCATGACTTGGAATACTTCTTTCCAGCCCCTTCTTACTGAAAGGTTTCTTTCGAGATATCAGCTGAGAGTCTTATGGGAACTCCTTTGTAGGTAACTCTCTCCTTTTCTCTTGCTGCTTCTAAGATTCTCTCCTTATCTTTAATCTTGGCTAATGTAATTATGATGTGCCTTAGTGTGTTCCTCCTCGGGTCCAACTTCTTTTGGACTTTCTGAGCTTCCAGGACTTCCTGGAAGTCTATTTCCTTTGCCAGATTGGGTAAGTTTTCCATTATTTTTACAAATAAGTTTTCAATTTCTTGCTCTTCCTCTCCTTCTGACATACCTGTGTTTTTGATGTTGGAATGTTTAAAGTTGTCCCAGAGGTTCTTAAGCCTCTCCTCATTTTTTTGAATTCTTGTTCCTTCATTTTGTTCTGGTTGAATGTTTCTTCCTTCTGCTCCAAACTGTTGATTTGAGTCCTGGTTTCCGTCCTGTCACTGTTGGTTCCCTGTAGATTTTTATTTATTTCACATTATGCATCCTTCATTGCTACCTGGGTCTATTTTATGCTGCTGAAGTACCCAGTGACTTCCTGGAGCATTCTAATAACCAGCATTTTGAGTTGTGTATCTGATAGGTTGGCTCTCTCTTTGTTGCTTAGTTGTATTTTTTCTGGACTTTGAAATGTTCTTTCATTTGGGCCATTTTTTTTTGTCTCTGTGTGCCTGTTAAGTATAAGGGGTGGAGCCTTGGTTGTTCAGCAGGGCAGGGTAATCCCTGTTGCTGAGTTGTGATGCTGTATGTGGGGGAGGGGTCTGAGAGGGAACAGTGTAGCTTGCTCCACTCTCTGCTGGTTTTCAGTCACTTCCCCTGCTACCCATAAGCAAATTGGGCCCTTGTGGTGCTGATTCCCAGGTGGGTGGGCCTGTGTACGTCCTAGGACCCTGTGGGTCTCTCTAGCGAACTGTCCTGTGAGGCTGGGAGTTTCTCCCACTGCTGCCTCAAACCCCATGGCTATTTTCCATCAGAGGCTTTGAGGCTTTATTTCCCTGTGCTAGAACCCTGGGTTGCGCAGTCTGCCTCACTCCCTAGTTGTTCCTTCTGGTTTATCTGCACACAAATGTGGGACTGCCCAGTCTGCCAGCCACTGCTTTGCCTGGTCTGCCAGCTGCCACCTTGCCTAGAGTCCTCTCCACCTGGCTGCCCGTCTCTGCCCCTCGTACCCGTTTGGATGAATGCTTCTTTTTTTTTTAAAATTTTTTTTATTTTATTTATTTATCTTTAGAGAGGGAAGGGAGGCAGAAAGAGAGAGAGAGAAAAACATCAATGTGTGGTTGCTGGGGGTCATGGCTTGCAACCAAGGCATGTACCCTGACCTGGAATCGAACTTGCGACACTTTGGTTCACAGCCTGTGCTCAATCCACTGAGCTATGCCAGCCAGGGCTGGATGAATGCTTCTTTAACTCCTTGGTTGTCCAACTTCCATGTAGTTCAATTTTCTGTCAGTTTTGGTCGTTTTTGGTTTTTAAATTTGTTGTCCTTCTTTGGTTGTGTGAGGAGGCATAGTGTGTCTACCTACGTCTCCATCTTGGCTGGAAGTCTGGGCCCCATTTTCTTGATGCTTTCACTTTGAGATTAATTTCATAACATTAGCCCTCACCTTTCTGAAGGTCTTTGTGGATTCTCTGTCCTCATGCCTGAACTTTTCCCTAGAGAGCCTATCTGTCATTCCCAGACTCTTGGTGAATATTTCCACTTGCACGTCCCACCTGTCTGCTAACACCAGCCCTCTTCCCTTCACTGTGTTCTCTGGTCTGCCATACCCAAAGCCTCTGTGAGTCACTGGCTGCTTTTGCAAAAAGTGGTGGTAGTTCATAGCTTAAAAACGTGGACCCTGGGACTTTTTTCATGAGTTCATATCCAAGCTACGGATATGACCTTGGGGAAGTTGTTTTATCTCTTGGTGCCTCAGTTCCTCATTTGTAAGTGGGGTTAATAATGTACATACTTCATTTAATCCTTACAAGAGGACTGTTTATATCTATATTTCTCAGTTGAGGAAATTGAGACACAGAGAAGCAAATAACATGACCAGGCATTTGAATCCAGACAAGACAGTCTGTACACTTAGCATTATGTTCTGAGAAAGTATATGTAAAGTGCTGAGAACAGTGCATGGTGGTACTAAATCTCAATGAATGCTAGCTGTCACTGCCATTGGTATTGGCAGCAGTAGTATTATTTTAGCACCTGCCAAGTTTGGTATGTCTCTCCTCACTAGGCTAGACTTTCCCTAGACACTTTAATTAGAAGAAGACGGCTGCATTCAGGGAACCAAAATGCAGTGCAAAGCAGTACTTAGCTTTTACCTGGTCAACCCTCTGCCCAAAGGTAGGGCTTGTTGCCAGGGTCCAGCCTCAGCGAGGTCTCAGGGTCCCCGAAGGATGCACGGCTAAGGCGAAGTAACTGAAGCGAGACATCCGGTGGGGTGCCGGAGGACAGCCAGGCTTTTTGGGCCTGACTGACTCACCAAGAAAAATCAATCTTTATTTTTATAGGGGAGGTTATACAACATTCAGTGCATAGTGTGATTATTAAAACAGAAACGGTTACCACAAAAATAATTTCTAAAAACACAGAAGGTTTTACAAATCAATCATGTTAAACAAAGAAATTACCGAAAAGTACAGGAGGTCCCACAGATCAACCATATTACACAAAAGTTATTTTGACCAAGAGGGTCATCAGTCAGATAGCCAACGAAGCTATATGGGCACAAACTTTCAGGTGCCAATTAGTAACTAGGTATCTACTAAGATTTCAGAGATTGGTCTAAATTAAAAGAGTGCAAGGGGTGATTGATAGATATATAGAAATCAACTATTATCTGTTAAGGTTAAATTTATCTCAGTTAGGTAACTGTTTTTTTGCCTAGGTTTTTTGATTTATATATCTTGGGGGGGCCATGTTTTGTATTTGTTTCCATGTATTGAGATTATTATTCTCAACTAGAACTCCTTGCTTCTTTACCCTCCTGTCCAGGGTATGGGGTGTGGGGGTAGTGGCTCTAATAAATCTTAAGCCTTTGAGTGGTGACTCCTTAAGCAACGTTCCTAGCAACAGTTTGCTTCAGCATTCTGGCAGTTGGTCTGCCCATAGTTTAATTTTGTCCGTAACTTCCCAGGTGGGGGAAGCAGGCAACATTAGGGTTGCTAGGAGTCTCTATTCTGTGGTGAGCAACTCATTTTGCGGAGAATCAGAGGCATCGTGCAGATTTTTTGTTATAACACACAGGTATCCAAAAATCCCACCACCTATTGCTAGCAGGGACTGTCATATAGGAAGAGATAGAAAGGAAATCTGACCACAGTCACCTCTGCTGTGCAGATGTGTCTCATCCCACCCGACTGTGTCAAAGGTTAGCTGCTGATTGGCTCCCGACAGCTTGTCACTCTGGGCTTCTCACACCCCAAAGCTGCAGAGGCTGACTTGATTTTAGCTGAGGGAAGCTGTAGAGGAGTGTGTTTGCAACTTGGAGCCAGTTTTTGTGGACTGATAATTCAGTGTCTAACTATGGATTTTAAGTCTCTCAGGGACCTGAGGTACCTGTTTGAAGCAGTTCGGTGATGATATCCAATCTTAACTTCTTTCTTTATTCAGGGTACTGAGAAGCAAACTTCTTTCTGC